TAATAATAATAATAATAATAATAATAATAATAATAATAATAATAATAATAATAACAATAACAATAAAAATAATAATGATAATAATAATAACAACAATAAAAATAATAATAACAACAATAATAGTAATAACAATAATAATGATGATAATAATAATAATAATATCTGTGAGTTTTCCAGTTCCTCCAAATGGTACTTTTTAGATACAATTTTGATACTGTTACCTTGTGCTGGTACTTCGTTTATTCGCCCGCACTATCGCTGATGATAATGTATCGTTGTGAAAACTTTACAGTTGAGACCGCTGAGAGAAATAGATTGTTACTAGCGAACAGATTCATACAGTTGTGTCTGTCTCTGTTCTTTGGTTTTTAGCAAAATTTCTTCCCGTCTTCTACCAAATCCATGAATCCCAGTGATCGAAAGTCACTTTGCGTAACCATTTTTCTTCGTTGATGCTCAATCTCCTTGATCGGCATATTCCCAAATCCATAAATCTTGACAATTTTCCGACGAATCGCGAAAAGTGTTGGCAAAATCGTGTTCACATTTCAGTTACAGTGAAGCGAACAAATGGCCGGTTTGATGAATGGTGATGGACGATTGGAATAGCGGAAGGGCTGGTTGGTGGGTTCAGGGGTTCGAGGAAGAATGGATGGCGGACAGTGAGTGGATGACTGGTTGCCGGCGGAGAAAAATTGCCGAAATTTCGAACACAAATGCATTTCGAAGCGGGAGAAAAAGCTTTTTTGACCGGAAAAAACTCGACCAGAAGGGAGTGCGGCAAAGGGGGAAACGAGGAAAGAAAAATGTGGTCTACAGAATGACGGACGATACTGTGTATGTGTGTGTGTCTGTGTAAAGTTGATCATTTTCCTAGCTTTCTTCCACTTCAGCAATTGCTTCACACGCCGTCATCAAAGTACAAAGGTCCACCTTGTTTTTACAAAGTAAAACGACGGCCTCGATTAATTTGCCTAATACAAGGAAGACGGCTTTGCCGATGTTCAAAAAGCGATATTTTACATGAGAACACCAGGACAAACATCAAGATGGCTACTGGCAAGTTGACCAGTGAGTGATACAGTATTGGTTAAAGTAACTGGAAAGCTTGTTTGCTGCATAGTTGGAATTATACCTGGGCAAAGTATTTTATATGAACCTCTCCTTTCCTCCTCGAAATTAGATAGTTTTGAAGTCATCACTTTCATTTCATCAAAAATAAAGAGGCGCTGATTACGGCTACCAGGTGATTATTTCTCCTCCGCTCAGCTTGCTATCCAAACTATCCATCAAAAAAACACAAAGGCTAAATGTAAAATTAGCTCAAAAAAAAGAAATATCACACATTATCCATAGCAAGCTACCGTAATTCTCGCACGTCTACCGTAAAACAAATAAAGAGTACAATCGCGGACTTCTACACGTTTAATGCCGTATACTTGGCCTACCGTATACGGGGCAGTTTCGTATACGATAAGGTAGCCATACGGTAATCAACGCACAGTAACCTCCATGAGTCTTAAAATTTATTTTGCAAAAACTTTCTGAAGGACATCTTTTTTTTAAAATTTTTGTTGCAATTATCGTTGACATGAAAAGATCAAAGTGCCGGTTTTTCTTCTTTTTTTTTAAACGACAGGATGCATAATAAGTTCGCGACAATTCAAAAGAACATTTAGCAGAAAAATTTTCAAAAATACTGAAGCTTGCGAGCTAGTTGAATTAAAAAACTGCCCTTCAGCCGGAAAAAAAAACTTTTCATTTTTCCTCTGCAAACTAATGAGAATCCAAGAAGTGGCAGTTGACGTGCCTGAGGGGACGAATGAGGGAGGGATCGATGGCTACGCTGCTTTACAATTTGACATTTCATCAGCATCCCTTTCACTACCACCCATGAAAACCATCACTTCATATCAACCTGACACTTCCTGACAGGCATCGAAACTTCGTTATGCTACTGGAGCACAGGTGCTCGCATTTCTTTCCTCCTTTTATGCTCTCTGATTAAAATCTTCGTTACTTAAAATCTCAGAAGACCCCATATTAACGTGAGTGCTGCAGCTGAAATGCAAAAGTTTTAAAATAAGATCGGGACCGAGTTCATCTGCAAAATGCTGCCAATGTTTTAGCTTAGCAAATGGTACTACTATAAAAAATGGCTGGCTAACAAAGGCTTAAGGGGAACAGAACTATTTGTGTGCGGGAATTCGAAGGTTCGATATTGCTATAATAAGATAAATAAAATAAGCTATATTTATGTAAAAAAAAAAAAACTAATGAAATGTTGAAAGTTTTTTAATGCTAAGAAATGTTTCGGTCCATTAAGTCGTATACATATCTTACCATTACCACAACTGGACGTCGTCAGTACGACGGCTGTGGTAATTAGTATCGCTATAAACCAGTAAGGCAGCTCATTTTATTCAGAATTAACTCTACTGTCTTTCCCACAACTTTTCTCCTACTATTTTTCTCCCCTCTATATACACTTCCCCTATTTTGGCACCCCTCAACATGGATGCTACAAGCGGCTTACTTCATTCGTTTCGATAGTAAAATGGTATTGATATATGCCAGGAAGCTAAACTTGCCAAAAACTTGTTTCCAGGTGGCTATCGTTTATTCGCCTGCCCTGTCCTTTTGGAAACAAATTCCAGAAGCATCACAACTGCACTTCTATGACCCGTCAGTTAATCTACTAATAATCTTTCTCATTATTCTGTAAGAACTGCTACGATACCTGGCAATGTTTGCAGAAACAGAGAACTCCTGTCACACTCACGGCCTCATTACCTCACCACTTTTGTCACATCAAGGAGCATTCCGATCTAAAAGTCATAAGTCACGGTGGATAGGAGGCTGTACTGATGAGGGGATGAAATGTGGCTAAGGGATGAAATACAGACTGCTCCCAAATATGTCCATTGACACATACCATAATTAGCTCGATCACTTATCTCCAATCCTAATATTTGATGATGACCATGTTTTGTTATTACGGCTGTACAGAAGAATTCGCCCTGTTGAAGGGAGGGCAATGACCTCCTCATTTCGCTGTAGCGAAAAACAGGACAAAAATTTGCATAGCTTATAGTGTGGGAAAATATATGGTGGAGGATGGATGAGTGGGGGATGGCTGGGAATGACGATGGTGGCATGGAGCCAAAACAAATTAAATTTTCGATGACGATAAAAATAAACAAAGAGACGGAAGGAGGTGGGGGGAAGGGGAGAAGAGAATTGGCGAGGGATGTTGAAATAAAAAGAAAAATGTGGAAAAAAAAAAATGGGGAAGGCGGGTTGGGGACAGGAAGTACTCCAGTAATCTATGATTAGTAGTACTGGAGGACATTCTTTGGCCTTTTGCAAAATGCCACACGAGAGAAAAAATTATGTTCGCCTTTTTTTCATATTTTTATGTTATTTGATTTGTTCTCGCCGAATGTCTGCTTGCTTGCCGCATTTTCATCTTCGCTAATCCCAAATGACGTTCGTTGTTTAATGGGCAACTACTATTATGTGTAATGGGAAAGCCCTCTTGCTGAGCCTTAAAAGGACACACACACAACGAGCAAAGCTCTTTTCTGCCAAAGCATAATTGGCCAAAGGAATTCCATGCCTGTGGCCAAATAGTCCAAACTACTAATCGAAAAAGTGCAGCATGAATAATAATACAATATTAGCCTGAGCACCGAGAATATCGGTATCCCATGTCAGTGATTTTACTGAAATAATCTCACAAGTCCGACACGGTAATGTCCAGCTTTTTGACCTTGAGCTGCACACCTCCAGTTAGTATCCAATGTCTATTCGATGCATATACATTACCCCCACAGGAGGCCGCCCGAGTGGATGTTTACTTTCTCGTGGGTACCACTCATTAATAGAAACGTGATGTTTGGTACTGAATATGCATAAGGTTTTCATGGTCCAGTTGTGGTAACGGTAAGAAATGTATACGACTTAATGGACCGAAACATTTCTTATCAATTTATAAGATTATTAATATTTTTTCCCCTTTTTTCTTTTGTGTTTTTACATTACTTTCTCTTTTAAATGAATTTGATTGTTTGCTTTCTTATTTAATCCTATTACACAGTTTTCTTGTTTCAAACTACAGGGACAAAAAATGCGTCCAACATGATGCAAGTTTGAGAGCAAATTCTAAAACTATATATATACCACTGCCAATTAATCATGCATAAGTTTTTCTTTCCTTTTAATTATAATTGTAAGCAAAACCGTATCTGATATTTTTATGCCACATACATTTTTTCCTGAAAAAAAAAAAAAAACGGGAACTTACCAGCTGCGGGAAAATGTTGCGCATGTTGTTGTTGCTGTTGTTGTTGTTGCTGTTGCTGCTGCTGTTGCTGTTGTTGATCTTTCGTCTCTTTTCGACGTTTTTTCAATCGTTCCGCGAACGCAAGCACTTCCGCATAATTTTTACCCGTTTCCAAGCATTCTAGCCGTAACAGATGCCTCTGGTAATGTTTGCGTAGCTGATAGCCAGCTGCTGATGATTCCGACATTTCCGAGTTCGCTTCCGAACAAATCTGTTTCCAAGTTTTATCGCGCGTAACCTAAATTTTGAAAATATACCAACTTAGCTGGATCGAGGAACCCTTATCTCTTCCCATCCATTTTCTTATTACTATTTCTCTGTGCGCCTTCTTTTTTAATTTACTTTTCAGTCACTCATACCAACTTAACAGCTGTTTCAAGTATCCGGGTGTGTCCTCAATTATCATTCCTTGAAAGTTTTCGTGGGAAAAATCACTGTTTCGTGAGCCCCAGACGAGCTATGAGGCTAAAAATTTCAGAAGGATGTTGTTTCCTGCCTAAGTAGGAGCCCCACAAATTCGAATTCAGTTTCTAAGTATGCCGATGGGTGGTGATAACTTCTTGAAGTCGTAAAGCGATAGCACGACGACTTTGACGGACCCAAGGAGAGACGGATATGAATGATGTGACTTTCTCGCGGCGGACAAACATCACTCTCCGGAAACGATGAATGACTGTACGAGAGCGAACTGATACGGGGCCGTGTGCGAATGACTAGAGATAATAATCGAACTGTCTCGATATGGTGATAATATTGGTACGACGGAACGATGATATGGAGTGTCTGGGAACGGTGTGGTATGGCGCCCTAAAGTATATCAAGGTCGGCGCATTACAAGAAACGCCCTGCAACGTGTTGCACAAACCTCACCAACACCAAACCAGGAATACTAAGAATACCCGGACAATCGTCGGCCTCGGGGACCAATGTTAGCGAAAATACACTGGAATACTTTCAAATAAGTATAAAATCCTTTTCATCCGGAATAAATCTTGAAAAAAAATATCTTGAAAAATATCTGTCTGAAAAAATATCTTGGAAAAAATTTTGAAAAAAATATCTTGAAAAAAAAAAAAAAAAAGATTGAGGAATTTTAAAAGCAACGCTCCAGTTACCTGTTCAAAACCTCCACGTTTCATTACAGCCAAATAAAGTCGATGTAAATCGACGATTTGTTTCGAGACTTGCGGGACCTGCGTAATTGGATCACCCTGAAAATTAAAATGTTTAAAAAAGCGACACCGAGCAGCTGCATACCTTGCATTATTCCTTCCCCTAAAATACTATGAAGATGGTTCTGTAGCAAACAGACACAGAGCACAGTAGTTTTTGACACCAAAAGCCTCTCCCATCCTAGAATTTCACATGAATCCTAACAAATCCACTTTTTCATGATAACGTATAATTAATAAGATGAACGCTGGGATTGTTGGTATGGAGAACAATGTTAGTATTAAGGCCCTATACATTGAACGCAGCTATGCTAGGCTCTCCAATTAAGGCCTCATAAGGGGTATTCACGCCAATTTTTTCAAAATCCGCTTGCGCGGCCGTTTTCTTTCTCGTGAGTACCATTATGCGGTAAATGTGCTTACCTCGATTCCGCCAAGTTAGAAACAATTACGGAGTGAAACGTCCTCACCGACGTAAGACTAAATGGCAAATGCTGACTGTGACGGAAAAAGCAATGGTCTAAGAGACATATGGGCGTAAATTTATGTGTTCGTAAGCAGAAAAAAAATGCTATTTTGGGAGATTACGCCTACATATTATGCTGATTTTTCTTTTCGTTTTAGTTTGTTACTTAACTGATAATCCACAAATACTGACTGCTACTGCCCCGCTTTATCACTGTCCCAGTGAACTCGAGAATTCTGAAGATTATACATCAGTGATTCAAAAAGTTCCGATAAAATACAGGTCAAAAATAAGTCAATTAGAATACCTGTTGTTCGCATAATTTTACCAATTTATCAAAAAACATCCGTCTCTCCGGCATGATGTG